TGGTTCGTGACGCCTTGCATTCCTTGGATGTCGTGTAGCTTTCAAGTTTCCATTTCATGCGAATGTTAGCATGAAATGTCATTTTGTAGACTTATATGTCAAAATATGTATATTTGATTCCATGTATGTAATGTGTACTTAAGTACACTTCTTTCAATGTATTTGATATGTATGAGATGAGGCCAGAGGCCAATGACCATTATATTGTGTTCTATGTACTTTTTAACTTCATGAAATATTGTGAAAATCTTGAAAAAACGGAAGTCATTGCTTCACCATGGTTGCATCGGGTGTGGGAATTCCATTCTCATTCTTTCATAGGGTCTTATTAATCTTGTATGAAGTGTGGCCAAGGGCCAAACGGTCATTTGACCCCGTTTTGTATTTTTGGATTCCGAATTTTCATTCCAAGTTCCATTTTTGCCTTTTTGCCCGTTGGGGGGTCGGATTTTGTATCGGTGGTATTTTTAAGTCGTGGACCATTGTAGCACGTCCAAATAGGTAAGTTACGTTTGTGTGCATAGTCGTTTCTGGGCAAAACCTTATCGTTTGTATTTTGAGCCTCTTGTGAATTCATTTCGCATTTTTTTTTTTTTGTATATTCTGATCTAGGGGCATTATGGACCTTTCACATCAGTTTTATTTTCTTCTTTTGATATGGTTGAATAGAAAACATGATTTTAGGGAGGGTTTCTTCTTCGTGTTTTTCCAGAAAATGTTGTCTTGGTACCGGAAATCCCTCGTGAAGTTTCAGCTTCCAGTTTTCATTTAGCAGCTTTATAACTCTCTTGTTCAGTTCTAATCTAGGGGCATTTTGGGGATTTCATAGTGAGTTTTTTTCGATTTCGTCTGCGCTGTCGAGTAGAAAACTCTATTTTAGGGGGGAAGAGGGTTTCTTCTTCGTGTTTTTCCAGAAAAACTCGTCTTGAGCTCCGTTTCAAGCCTCAGTTCTGGGTAGATCAAAAAAAATGTAGCAGCAGCCAAGGGCTACCTCCAGCCATGTCTTTGGGCGCCGGCATGCGCGCCGGTGGGCTCGTGCATGGGCGCCGTGTGCGCCATGGCCCTCGTCGGGTCGCCGCGACGTCAATTTTTCTTTTGGGCTTTTCTCCTTCGTCCGGACTCCGATTCAAGTGAATTTTTTTTTTAACTTGATTAATTTTTCGTCGTCTATCCAACGGTGTACTCGGTTACACCCGCATATTTTTGGATAATTAGCAGTTTGCCCTTAAATCTTTAAGTGTCCGTTTTTCGTCGTCATGCCGTTTCTCCTTCGTCCGGACTCCGAATCATGTGATTCTTGAGTCCATCTTGATTAGTTTTTCGTTGTCCTTCCAGCGGTGTGCTCGATGGCACCCGAATCTATAATTTTCAAAAATAACTATTTTGCCCCTAGGGGCTTATTTGTCATATTTTCGATCTTTTGCTTCAGCATCAGTTCTTGTTGAGTTCCACGACCTCATGGAAGGTCACTTTAACTTCTTAGAGTCTTGTTTTCTATTTTCGCTTCCGCATTCGGATCCTTTATCGGAACATCCTTACGGTTCATCACAAAACACACTGGCCTAAAAACCAGGGTCATCACATGTTGCCTAGCATGCTTAATTGCATTGATTTTACTTTAGAATGACTTAATTGTGTATATAGAGTATATGATTATGTGTGTTAATTGAGTTTGTATGGGAAAGCATGCTTAAGTAATGAAATTCTATGCTTATTGTGTTAATTTGTTAGATTTTGTAATATGAAGCATGTAGATTACTTGCCCTTTTGAAATTTACTTTAAGTTTTGTGTATGGTGGAGATTAACTTGTATTGCATAAGAAATTCCCTCTTGTCATATCATTTGAGAATTATAATGCATTCATGCATGGCATTGGGCATGAAAAAGGGCAAAGTGATTTGAAGTGAATGAAAAGGGGTTTTGGGGTAAAGTTTTGATTAAAGTGATTTTGAGAAAAACCCGAACGCTGCAGAGGTACCAAAGGTTCGTGGAGTTAATGTAACCTAGAGGGAACAAGGGAGAAAGCCCTAGCGTGGTTAAGCTAACTGCCCAAATGACGCCGCGGAGGTACCAAGGGTTAGGGACAGTAGCCAATCATTCTCTCATGTCACAGCGGAGTCACCAAGGGACGGGTTATATTAACAGTTTGAAAAGTGGTGGATGGTTTTGGAAATGCGGAGCAACATTGCATGACATTGCATTCCATGGCAAGGCATGGTTCGTTTATGACTTGGATTATTGTTGTTAATGTTGTGGTTATATTTTTTCCGGGAATAGCATGATCCCGGTTCTTTTTCCTATTCCTTGTTTGGATTCACGGAGTCACAAGAGGTGTGTCTTAGGCACCTCCTACTGAGCTTATGCTCACCCCTTTATTATTAACATTTTTTAGGTCATGGCAAAGGAGTGGCGGACGACAATCCACCACCAGTTTAGTTTGGTTGGCGGGCTTGGGCTCCTTTGTGCTCGATGTATATTTTAACCATTTTGTTGTGAATAAGTATTAGGGAACATTTTGTATCTTCCACATGGTTGGAAATGGTCTTGAGACCATTCATTTGTATTTTGTGGTCTCACTATGATTTCAATATCCATGTAAAGCCTTAAGGCCATATTTTCGCTGTATGACACTCTTGTTTAATTTTAATGGTGTATTAGACTCATGTATGGCCTTATTTGATTCTTGTACCATTTGGTAATGTTAGTTTCATCATTATATGGAAGATTTTGGAACAGGTTTGGGCTTTGAGTAAGGTCACCAAGGGACCAAAGTAGTGCCAAAGTGCATAAGATCACAATTTTAGGTTGTTTGGGGAATTTTTGAGGTTCTGGACACCTTGAACCGGTTCAGCGCCATTGAACCAGTTCAAGGGGGGATCTTTGGTTCAAGAATGGGCAAACTGCCCTTCTTGAACCGGTTCAGCTCCACTGAACCGGTTCAAGTCCCCCAGTGCACTATTTTGCCTTCTTTAGTTGACAATTTGGAATGCTAGACTTTGGACGGTCATAACTTTTTCGTTTAGAACCCAAATTGGGTCATTCATGACTCCATTTTCAAGAATTTGGATTTAGCTTTCCAAAGAGACTAACCTCAACCTCAAATTCCATTCATGTTGAGAGTTATGGTCGTTTTAGTGGGACAGTGTCGGAATTTCTCTTGAACTGAGTAGGGGTACTTTTGGGTATTCATATCTGATGACCGTAACACCTCTTCGAACATCATGGAATGTCTAGAATAATTGTTTTAGACTTCATTTGACTAGTTTAAGGTCTTATTACCCACTCATATTGTAAAATGACCATTTTACCCCTAGTGTGTCATCTGGTTTGGTTAAGGACCTGGATAGCGATTCGGACCCCCGAGTTCGGGTCGTTATAGATAAGGTGTGAGCCAGAATCAAGGTTCGGTATATTTTGTTTCAAGTATAGTGGATTGGTTTACTTTGGACCGCACAGTTCACGAGATTTTTTCCATAACAATTGACGTATTTTATCAACTGTGGTTTCCTCGCTAAAATCCTAGTGTCATCTCTAACTTTATACTTTACTTTATTTTATCTGCATGTGATTAACTGTTTAATTGCTAAAATAAGTAAAATTGGTAACAACACATCTGTTTTACAAAACCTAAAACTTTTCTTAATACATTCCGCTGCATACGACTTGCACCCATTACATAAATGAATTATTAGGTTTAGTCATGTAAGTAAAATATATGAAAGATCCTACTTTTTTGTACTTGTTATAAATGATCAATCAATATGGTGAATAAATTCTGTTCAAATCTTCAATAAAGTCATTTGATTACGTGCAATGAAATATGAATTTCTAAAAAGAAAATGCTTTGTAGTCTGAAATATTATAGAACAAACATGAAGATCATATTTGTCTCTTTGCCTAAAATAAATAAATAAATAACTAGTTGTCTATATAAAAAAATGATGACCAAAAACTTGGATTATCTCTTCGTGGCTCTCAATATATTCAATGTAGAGTTGAACGGCTCAAACATTTTTAGCATGTATTGTTGCGCATGTGGAGCCAAATATTTGGTATTTCTTAATTCTATCACCAACCAAAGGACTTGACACTTGTGTGCTTATTATCACGATAACAATTGCGACAAACGCATGTCATTTAAAAATTAAGAAGAGTTAAGTCTACTCTCCGATCTCCATCGTCTTGACAAAGTCACAATGTAATATACTTATTCATAGTATGAGCAAATGTATAATAATAATATAAATAAATGATTGGCTATAACCGTTATAATAGCCTTAATATTCAACCCTATAGTACAATATTTTCATACTTTGTTATATATATACACACACACACAGATGCCTCTCACACACACAAAATTTTACATTAAGGATGCAACATCATTCACATTGGGATTGCAAGTTCGAGATAAAGGTATTTTAGTCTTGAAATAAAATTGTAATAGTATTAAATCTTAAAATAAATATATTGTATATATGTTACATCTTCAAATAAATGTATTATCGTCCTTCATATAATAAGTTGTATTAGTAGTGTAACGAAGTTGTAGATATAAAATAAAAATTTGTAATTAAGTTAATGCCCTCCCAATTATGAGCAAGCACAGGACCTATTCTTTACTCAATTTGTGGAGTGTTTAGGAAATCCAACTCTTTATGATAGCAGATTTTTAAGACTTTTTTATTGTATTGATAAGAGGGAATTTTTAAATTTATGCTAGTTAAAATATAAAAAATATTCCGTAATTAAAGCACTTGTTTAATAATGTCAAAATGATAATTTGATAATGTTATAAAAAATAGTATATCAATGATCCATTTTTGAAATAAGACACCAATCTTGAGACATCTCAAAATAGAAAAATGGTTAAAAAATTTTAGACGGAGAAAGTATTATATTCCTATTCATTTGTTATTATTATTAATCTTATATACCTATAATATTTTAATATTACTCTTCTGAAATTGGTTTCTCACGGTATTGCGACTCAGCACAAATGTATACTTTTCCATGGTTTGACAAATTATTATCTGACATCCTCTTTGTACAAGAAGAGATTGACCAAGTACGTAGCTCAAATATTTTTATCCAATTATTGTATTTGACAACAACATGCAGCTTATTGGTATACCTATAACATACATATGTAGCAGCACATAAAAGGAAACCTCTTATAGCTCCTCTTGTCTCGTGAAGAATCTGAGTAGCAATATGTGGATTCCAAAGTGCTTCCTCTTTCCATTGCTTTCTTGTTTTGCCCTAATAGTTGTGGTTCATGCACAGGTCCCTCCAGGTATGCAAACACACTTCCTTTATACATCAATATATCTATTGATTGTCATAACACTAGGCATATAACTAATATATATATATATATATATATATATATATATATATATATATATATCAGGTTTCATAAGCATAGATTGTGGAGCACTTGAAGGCACCAACTACACAGATGGAACAACTGGAATGGATTATATTTCAGATGCAGCTTTTGTAGACACTGGTGTGAGAAAGACTATATCCCCTGAATTCAAGAATAATCTCCTACCACAACAGTTTAACAAAGTCAGAAGTTTTCCTCAAGGAACCAAAAACTGCTACACACTGAGACCTGCACAAGGCAAAGGTAACAAGTACCTGATAAGGGCCAGTTTCATGTATGGAAACTACGATGCAGAAAATCAAATACCCGAATTCGATTTGTACATTGGAGTTGATTACTGGACCACAGTGATGTTATACGACTCATCAATTGGCTATAGGTGGGAGATCATACATGTTCCCACCACGGATTATATATATGTTTGTCTCGTAAACGTAGGCCTTGGAACACCGTTCATATCAGCATTAGAGCTAAGGCCTTTGAATAATTCTATATATCAAACTACTTCTGGTTCACTTGGCCTCTTTATGCGCTATGATTATGGTTCAACCACCAATGAATTAGTCAGGTTAGCCACTTTTTTGTCAAGATTGTTTTGGTAGAAACTAGCAAGAATCAATTTTATCAAGGGTTAATTCTACTTACTTCTCCTAAGGTTTATCAATATTTCACATAAATCCCTTCTATGTTTCATAATCTCACTTACCTCCCTTGAGGTTGCGGTTTATGTAACAGATTCTCACCTGTCTAACCATTTTGCCCTTCTAATGCTTGAAATGACATCAAACATTGCATGGGCAAAATGGTAAAATAGTCACTGACGGGAAGGTAAGTGGAATCATGAAACGTAAAGGAGTTCTATGAAAAATATTGATAAACCTAAGGGGAGGTAAATGGAAATTACCTTTTTATTCTATTCGGTTTTATACAACTGTTGAATCAATCTTGTTATTGTACTAATATATCTCACTTAGGTACAAAGATGATGTTTACGATCGCATGTGGAACCCTCACGATTTGGGCAACCACACGAAAACCTTAAGTACCATGTCTGCCATTGACTCCTTGGGGTCCAACAGATTCCAACCAGCACCTGTTGTCATGAGCACTGCGGTGGCGCCACTAAATGCTAGCAGTCCATTGAGCATCTTGTGGAGCCCTGACAATTCCACTGATGAATTTTATATCTACATGCACTTTGCTGAAGTTGAAGTGTTGAAAGCCAGCCAATACAGAGCATTTCACATCTATTTGAATGATGAGCTCTGGTATGATGACCCTGTTGTCCCTGATTATTTATACACAAATACAATATACAGCACAGCATCTGAGGCTCATTCATTCTTTGCATTTTCGATGAACAAAACCGAAAATTCCACACATCCACCTATTATCAATGCCATTGAGGTTTATACTGTGATAGAAATTTTAAATTCACATACAGAAGACCAAGATGGTATGTTCTTACCAACACTAAATTATTTTATGTCTTATTTTTTTAACTCTTTACTCATGACATGGTTTTGGAATATTAGTTGCTGCTATTGTGAACATCAAGAAGTTGTATGGAGTGACAAGAAACTGGCAAGGAGATCCATGTGTCCCGAAAGCTTATGTGTGGATTGGCCTCAATTGCAGCTATGATGGTTTTGATCCTCCTAGAATCATCTCCTTGTACGTTAATGCCTCTGAAAAATCAAACTAAGGCTACGTTTGGCTGCATGGAATTGGAGCCTTGGAATTGGAATTGGTGCCCACCAATTCCAATTCCATGCAGCCGAAAATAGCCCAAGTACTTTTCATCATAATTTCATCTCTTCACAAAATTATTCAACATGTAATCAGGGACTTGTCAGCCAGTGGATTGACAGGGGAGGTAGCTTCTAACATATCTGATCTCACGATGATACAATCTTTGTAAGTATGTTTAATCTTATCTAAGTGATCCTCTATATATCAGCTTCTTCTATGTATACAACAGATAATAAACAAAGTTATATGTATGCTCATTTTCAGGGATTTGTCAAACAATAACTTGACTGGCCAGGTTCCTGATTTTTTATCTCGATTGGCTTTCTTGAAAGTTCTGTAAGTGATTGGATTTCGGACTCAAATTATGCCAAATTGCATGAAAAACATGGAATCAATCTTTAGCTCTTCTTTTGCAGAAACTTGAAAGGAAACAATTTTAATGGTTCAATTCCAGCAGAACTCCTTGCAAGGTCAAAGAATGGGTCATTGTCATTGAGGTTTGCTCTTTTCTGAGATACCATAAATTCAAGTTACTGAAAATTCTACTGATAATAGTAATTTTTTATTTTTTAGATGTCATTTATGTGTTCCAACTTCCAAGTTTAACATTAATTTATCAAAATCCAAAACAGTATTGATGGAAGTGAAGATAAAAGCAGAGACTCTTGTGAGTCTAATCCATGCAAAAAGAAAAAGAACAATGTTGTTCTTCCAGTGGTAGCATCTGTCGTCGCATTGTCTGTGCTTTTCACTGCAATAATGGCTGCTTTATGGGTTGTAAAAAGGAGAAAACAAGGTACAAGAACCATTATCCACTTGGTTAAAGATCGAAATTTTAAAATCTTAGTATAAAATTTTCAATATCACAAAGTTTTCTGAAGTAAAACATGTTTATTGAATTTGATATATATGATGACAGTAGTCAGGAAACTGGATGCTGAAACAAACCAGACAGACCGGTCTGTGGAGGTGAAGAGCCGAGAGTTTACTTTTACATACTCTGAGATCTTGAGTATTACCAACAACTTCGAAAGGGTTGTTGGGAAAGGAGGATTCGGAACAGTTTACCATGGCTATGTAGGTAACTCTCAAGTTGCTGTAAAGATGCTCTCACCATCATCAATTCAAGGGTATAAGGAATTCCAAGCCGAGGTAATCAGCTTGCATAAAATACTTATCAATTTGTATGTTGAATTAATTAATGTGACATATATATATATATATATATATATATATATATATATATATATATATTGCAGGCCAACCTCCTTACGAGTGTTCACCATAAAAACTTGACTTCTCTTGTTGGATACTGCAATGAAGGCACCAACATGGCAATCATCTATGACTACATGGTTAATGGAGACTTAGAAAAGCATCTCAGGGGTATAGATGTTATACTTGAAACTTTAATTTCACTATATAAGTATATATTTGCACAATTCTTTGCATTTCTGATGCATCAATGTTATCTTTGCTTAGAACTGTACATTTCTATCTTTTTCTTGTGTTAACCACATGATTGATGTTCCTTTCTGAACTGAAAAAAATAAATAAATAAAAATAAATAAATAAATAAAACTTAAAACTGTTATTTTGTGGATTCAGATCGAAATCAAAATGTTTTGAGTTGGGAAGAGAGGCTTCAAATAGCAATGGATGCTGCACAAGGTTAGTGATCGAGCAGACGAATTCCATTTATTTTCCTCCTACTTTTTGTCATTGTTCTTCTATAACTGCTAAAAATGTGGACTTAAATTTTTTTTTTTTTAAATTTTTTTAAATTTTAATTTTTATTATTAAAGGATTGGAGTATCTGCACCATGGTTGTAACCCTCCAATAATCCATAGAGATGTGAAGACTACCAATATCTTATTAAATGAAAATTTCCATGCCAAACTTGCTGATTTTGGACTATCTAGAGTTTTCCTAACTGAAGGTAGTACTCATGTATCAACAGTAGTTGCTGGTACTCCTGGCTACCTTGACCCTGAGTAAGTAATCTTATTTTCAGGTATACCATTTTAAAACACACACACACTGTATGACCTTCCCTTGACAAGGATAAATGATTTATATTTTTTGATTTGCAGGTATTACACAACAAATAGGCTGACTGATAAAAGTGATGTCTTTGGTTTTGGAATTGTTATCTTGGAGATAATCACAGGCCGGTCAGCATTATCAAAAGGCCGCGATAAGACTCACATAGTTCAATGGGTTGGTTCCAAGCTTGAAAATGGGGATATTAGGAGTATAGCTGATCCGATTTTACATGGAGATTATGATGTTAATTCTGTTTGGAAAGCAGTTGAATTAGCAATGGCTTGTGTATCTGGAAATTCTACCAGAAGACCAACCATGAATCATGTGGCCATGGAATTGAAGGAGTGTTTGGCAATGGAGATGGCGCGCAATGATACAGAATCAAGAAATCCGATTGGAATGATATCTATGAATTTGGAGAGTGAACTGAATCCCCTAGCAAGGTGATATCTTTGCAAAAATATGCATTCAGTATTGAATGTTTCTCTGTTTCAGTCTATGTTTGTATATTCAATCTACTACTTTTGTATATAGTTTGTGTAATATATGATTGTACTTTTCTCTTTTAGTGCTTGCAGAATTTGTATGTGGACTTGTATCAATATGTATCAGAAATAATATGCCAGGACCAGCTCATCTTTTTGAAATATATGTGCCAAACAGAGAAATGTAATCAGAAATAAATATGAAAAGACTTCTAAAATTTCAAGTGGACTTTTTCAACACCCTGGGCCCAATGGATCAACAATGGTAACTATCAATGTTATCTTGAACACAATGTCAACTGAACAGATTACAATGGAAACAAAGTGGGATATAAGATAGAATGGCAATTAATAAATGATGATTTGAATTTTTTTTTTTTTGGTATCATGTGTGACCAAACAGCCAGCAGTATATCGAAATTGACAATTTGAATGACAATGGCAACAAAGAATCCATCCAACTGTGGCCCACTACTAATATTTGGAAACTCGGCTCTCAAGAGGCCCACTTCTAGCCCATCACATTTTTAATTTCATATAACGAAGCTTTCTTGAGGCCCGACGTGTCCACTTCTAAACTACTTGCTTTAGGCTCTAGAAGTGAAGTGTCCGGGATGTCAAATATATTCTGGTTTAGTTTTTGAGAATATATGTTTGGTTGACCGTTCCTTTTGAAGATTTGTTTTATGGTAACTCACTTAAAAAAACAAAAAGAATAAAAAGAGAGACTGTTTTAAGATAAATTTCTTTTATAGAATTCTAAAAATAATTTTTATTTTTTAAGTTATTGAAAATTATTTTATGAGTAACAAACCAAATAGATTTAGAGTATTATAGTTCAATAAACACATTATATATATATATATATATATATATTTGATAATAGTAAATAATCTCTTTATCATTGAACGAAATTAATACATTTTCTGTATCCTTCATACTCAATAATTTGTCCTAGCTAGCTCAATCCACGTTGTCCTCGGCACCATTAGAATAGAATTCAACTAATGATCGAAATCAGTAACACGATTAATACAATGTTTCACTTGAACCGGTTACACTTCCTGATCAAAATCACCTTTTAGGAAAAATCTTGGAAGTCGCAATTCTAATGGAAAACATGACTCGGAGAAAATCTAACCAGTTCAACTATGAAGTCCAACCGGTTTCACTTAGTTCAATGTGTGAAAAATTAATTTTTGATAATTTTTAAATTTATTATTTTTATTCAAACTTGTAGGATATTGTAACGACCCGAATCCGAAGGTTCGAACCGTTAGTCGGGTCCTTACTCGAACTCAAGGTCATCTATGTCGAACTCGAGATTACCAATGTCAAAACTGTTAGGATATGTGTGCCCTAACATAGCAAATTTTAATTTTGAATTGTAAAAGTCATGGTTTCTTGCCTGGATATTATTATTAAAGCATTATACAATTGGTGAATGGAATGTATTATTTTTCGATTCTTTATGGAATTGATGGTGTCCGCTTGATTACAAAATATATTTATATATGTATGTAATGGCAATTAATACTATGATATAAATTAGTAATCATAAATGGTTTAAAGTCAGTAATTATGGATGGACATTTAATTAGTTAAGACTTAAACCGAGTCCACGATAGATTGAAATATATTGCGAGAGCTGTCGTATGCAATTGTTCTCTATCACAGTCATGGCTTTTGACTCTCAAATATGAGAGAAGTATAGACTCTTTTATTAATTAATAATTACTTTGATTTGTTCGGCGGATACCTCGGGATCCTTAGATCGACACTTTGGGTAGTTATGTAATTAATAATTAGAGGTCTATATTCTCAATATTTGCATAAGTGCTATTTGTATTTATTTTGTTTTGATTATGGTTGATCACAAATTAAATTCGAATGCCTTCGTATGTTTTAGACAAATGTTTTCTATATATATTTATTTAATAAATTATTATTATTTTTTGTCAAATAAATATTTTATTGTGATCGAGCCGGAAATAATCAAAGGTAACAAAATAATTATATTAATTATGTTGTCGGATTGATGGCTTTAATTATCCGATAAATAATTAAGCATAGAGGGGTCAAAGTGCAACATTGACTTAGAGGTTATTTACTATTTAATTAGAGTGCAATTAATTTCTTTTAATGGAGTAGAAATTAATTTATGAATTAATTGAATTGGGTCCATGGTTTAATGGACCGGACCAATTATTAATTTATAGGAGCCAAGAAAATAGTAAGCCCAAAAGGATTCTCACCAATAGCCCAAGTTGATATTGGAGTCATGTTAGGATTGAGAAAGTTGAATTAGAGATGGAAAATAATTTATTGTTTCCTTATTCTTATTTTTATTTTGCCTATATATACATGAGTTCATGTATATTTTAGGGGTGACTTGGAGAACAAGAAAAAGGAATACACCTTCTCTCTCTAGATTTTAGGGTTTTGTTTTCTCTTCTAAAGGAGGCTACCATCAGCCTAGATTCCAAAGTCATTCATCAAGGCATATTGGTGATTCCTAAAGGGAAGATAATAATCGAACGGAAGGAGAAAGGATCTTGCTAAAGGGATCTACAATAAGTGAGAACATTCACTTTAGAGGAAAGTTCAAAAGGTTTACTCAGACCTTTGATGTAAGTATTCAATCTGTTTATTGAATTATGCATCATCTTTTATTTATCTTTGCATAAAACTTGTCTCTGTGTGATGAATCAAGATCCGTGATTGCAAATCCCTCAAAAGTTTTAAAAACTTGCACGTTTCCCAACAGTGGTATCAGAGCATATGGTTTGATTCATTACTAGAGAACATGTGTTTATAAAAATCATATTCATGGATCCAAATCGTATATACATATATAAAATTATTAATATATGTTGATGTATGATTTATTATGTTGATATATATTAATACATGATGATGTATGTATAATTGTAAATGGATGATGATGTGTGTTTGGGCCATGGATGAAACTTATAGGTATATAGAATGTAATTTTAGTTTTGGATGAATGTAATTAAGGCTTTGTTTTAGCCGTTTGAAAAGTCAATGATGTAATTTAATTTTTTTCATTGTATTTCAAATTGTAAGTATTTATTAAAGCCATGTAATATTCATCAAAGGATGCTATGAAGCTTCAAGAGGGTCCGAAAGGGTTAAATTATGCTTCAGTAATTTTCTGGAATTTTTTCAAATTTTTCGGGAATTTTTTTAGGCTTAATTTAATTTTCTGGGATTTTTCCGGATTTTTTGGAATTTTTTTGGCCTTTTTCAGGTGGCCGGAGCTTCGTCGGCGGCGAGAAGGGGCGTCGGAGGTGGCCCGGATCAGGTGTGGCATCAATATGGTGAGCCTGGCACGTGTTCCACACGCGCCAGGAGAATGCACATGCTGACGCGTGCATTGCATGCGCCAGCCAAGGCAGCTTGCCCTCCACGCGCGTGAAGGCGTGTGGAGGCGCGTCCCACGCGCCCCAGGCGTGTGGCCCGTGCCGGCGCGTGGGGGCGCGTGGGTGCACGTGCCGAGTCTTGCAACCTGCCCTAAGCGCGTGCCAGTGCGTGTGGGGTCCTCCGGGCTCGTTCCAAGCAGCGATTTGCTTCTCCTGACGCGTACAAGCTTCCTATGAGTGTTTACAGACAGTTGAAGGACGCCCGTACAACAAGAATAGTTTTTAAATGTTAAAAGCTAAATCCATTGGCCATTTATATTGCTTCTGTCTATTATTTGATGCATGGAATAATTTAATAGTTGTTATAATTGTTCATGCATTGGATCCATGATTTTTAACTAAATGGCTTGATTTATATTAATTAAATTATGAAGATAAATTGGATTAGATTGCTAATTAATTTGAGAGCATTTATTGGGAAACAGGAAAATTATTTTTATAAATTATTTTTTGCCTCAAATTAAAGATTAGTGAATCATTTAAAATCCATATATTTTCTAAATTTAATTGGATTAAAATCAAAGCGTTTTGCATGCATTAAATCATGAATTGAAAACCCTAGTTTTATATTATTAAAAATTGAGTAGGAGCGGGGATTTTTTATACATTACCCCATGGCCTTCGTAATTATAACCATTATGATTAGATCTTTAAAAATAAGGCTCCACGCATGATTTAAAGAGTCTAGATTACAAGAATGGTTGTCTCACGAAAATATATTTATTAAATAACCATTATAGTTAGATCTTTAAAAATAAGGCCCTACGTATGACTTAAAGAGTCTAAGCTATTAATGGCAATATATTTAATATTTGTTTTTCCGTTGGAGCATTAATTATGTTATACACTCAATCTAAAATCAATAGTATTAGCTCCGCAATGGAGTGGTCTATACTAGGTGATTTTAGAAAGGCTAAATCTAATCGGGAATTATTTCATATTTAGATAAGGCATTGTCTAAAGAGATATGGAAATAATGAGTTATTCTCGTCAATAAACAATAATGAATTCCGCCAACCGGATAAGTTATTGGCATATTGATTATCCGATTTTTCATGCAATGTGGTTAAGGGACCCACAATTAATTAATTATTTTATACTTGCATGATTATTATTATTCACTTTATTTATTGTATGAATGTTTTTATTTCCAGATTTATCATGACTAGTCCATTCAGTCCACTTGCAAACATACTAAAAGAAAATCGATTAACTGGACCTAATTATATCGATTGGAAAAGGCAACTAGATATTGTACTCACATATGAGGGGTTGAATTATGTGCTTATTACTCCCAGACCTTCTCCACCTTTGCTTGAGGATCCTCCTGAGGAGCATGAAGTTTTTAAGAAATAGAATAAAGCAGATGAGATGACTAGGTGCTACATTCTTGCTTCACTCTCGAATGTATTCCAAAGTCAACATCTTCAATATCTCACTTCTGCAGACATCATACTTAACCTTAAGGAAATGTTTGGGCAAATTGGTAAGAGTGCACGCCAAAATGCTATGACAAATTTGATGACCATTAAGATGGTCCAAGGTACTTCAGTTCGGGAACATGCTTTAAAAATGATTGGTTTTTTAAATGAACTGGAAATCCTTAGATGCAACTTGGATGGTGAACTTCAGGTTAACAT